CGTATTCTACAGTGGCCGAATTTGATGCAAATATTCGTATTCTACAGTGGCCGAATTTGATGCAAATATTCGTATTCTACAGTGGCCGAATTTGATGCAAATATTCGTATTCTACAGTGGCCGAATTTGATGCAAATATTCGTATTCTACAGTGGCCGAATTTGATGCAAATATTCGTATTCTACAGTGGCCGAATTTGATGCAAATATTCGTATTCTACAGTGGCCGAATTTGATGCAAATATTCGTATTCTACAGTGGCCGAATTTGATGCAAATATTCGTATTCTACAGTGGCCGAATTTGATGCAAATATTCGTATTCTACAGTGGCCGAATTTGATGCAAATATTCGTATTCTACAGTGGCCGAATTTGATGCAAATATTCGTATTCTACAGTGGCCGAATTTGATGCAAATATTCGTATTCTACAGTGGCCGAATTTGATGCAAATATTCGTATTCTACAGTGGCCGAATTTGATGCAAATATTCGTATTCTACAGTGGCCGAATTTGATGCAAATATTCGTATTCTACAGTGGCCGAATTTGATGCAAATATTCGTATTCTATTCACTTTTTGCTTCAAACGTTACCTATAAGTTTTATTCAAATGCCCCCCCCCCCCTCATAGAAGCTCTCGGTAGGTGGCGCGGTAGATGTTCGTGATGGTCCACTTGGAATCGTCCTGTATGTACGCCATATACAGTTTGATCTGTAATTAATTGGGTATAAATTGGAGCACATATGTACTTAAAGAATTGCCAGTCATGGGAATATTGTCTATTCGATTTTTAGCTCCGCTGTCGGCTTTGTCGAGCGGAGCTTATCATACGAGTGATTGTCTGTCGTCCTGCGTCCGTCGTCCGTGTCAATGTTTTACTTTTTCGACTTCTTGAAAACTACAAGCCTGAATGCTTTGATACTTGGTGTATATGTACCTTGGGTAGACCTCTCTCGGATTTGTTAATTTCATTATCTTATCTTATCTTCAATTCTCTAATTTTGGTGAATATTTGTCATTTTTGGTAAAAAGTGATATTTTCAACTTCTTGTTAAAAAACCGCAAGTCCAATTGCTTTGATATTACATATATAGGTACTACACGTGGACTTCTCAGATTTGTTCATTTTGTAATTATATCTTCAATTTTCTAATTTGGGTGAATATTTTTGTCATTTTTGGTAATGTTACGAACGGGTATACGAGATAGTCTCCCGCGAACCTGACCGCCAATATCTCGCACTCCAGAACGCAACACTAAAGGGTCAAACAAAGGCACACAATCAGAATATGTCCAATAATATTAATTTAATAATACAATAAGCATAAACCAGTAACAGGAGCAATATAAATCACAAACCGGTCAACAATATACATCACAATAAATATAACATTAATGATAATAGCCCAGCTCGGAATTGCCTACCCTACCTAAGTGCAGAACTCGTACTGCGTAGCTTCAGCGATAGTACCGTTAATCACAGCAACGTCGACGGCGATATCAGTTCTACAGCTCCAAACTACGAGGTCTCGGGGAATGCAAATTACATGACACTGACCGTAATGTCACGCGACTTCCATACCGTCCGTGTAGAGAAAAGACCA